ATGGCCTTTGAAAAGTAAAAGCATCTGAGCATTATTTGGTCAAAGAGAAAAAATATATTTTATAGAGCAAATTTGACAGGAACAACAATCTAGTGCAACACTGTTTTTTATGCTTCTGTTTATCCTTTGTTTGGGGCTGTATAATTTAGTCTTACAATTACTTAGCCAAGCGGACATTAGATGGGCAGAACGTAAGCACTGCTATGCAACTAAAACATGGTTAGTTACTCTGTAGGTCATGGTCATAAAGGAGAGAGCCTTATTAAGGAATTTCATCCCCTCTCTCATGATAGGGACCAGCATTAAATTAAAATACAAATACCAGTACCATCATATCATAGAAATGTTTTAAGGAAAATCCAGCCAATGTTTGTTTCTATTCAAGAATTATTTACGTGCTTGATATCGTCAGGATATTGATTTTTAAATGCATTAGCGAAATCAGTGGCCATAATCAATAATATTGAAACTTTCCATTTAAAGGGGTTCTTTTTAGCTAATGGGTTTCATCCTATCAGTTTGGTGTCAGCAGTGCCTGTATTAAAAAACCGTGATTCCTTAATGATCACATCAAAACTGAATTCTGGCAGGCATTCAAGACTCTACCAGGACCACAGAGGCTGCCCCCTACCATGCACCCACGAGACGTCCGGGGAACAGACACTGTTGCTGGCTCCCCATCTCTGGTGTTTTGCTGCACTCACAACAGCCAGCACTTGTAGCTCTATTTTGCAGGGCTGCCATCAGGCCACGGGAACCGCTTTGCCCACATCTGTAGAGTCAGAACCAGTGACTGTCCAGCGGGGCACATGGAAGCCCAGCCCCCTTGGGACAACTCTCAAGGCCTCACGTGCTGTCAGCCTCCCTGAAGCTTTGGGCTAAGGCCCACCTACCCTCTGCAGACTTCTCCTGAGCTCACACCCTTGCCTGGCTTCCTCCCCTTCCCTGCCCTGCTCCCAGCACACTTGACAGGGGAACATTTCCTTAATAAAAACTTGCCACAGATCCTTGTCTCAGGGCCTTCTGGGGAACCAGACCTCAAATACCCTCTAACCAGGCAAGCTCATCTTCCCTCCTTGGTGCTGCCTCTGCTCCATCAGGACTGAAAACGCCCTCCTCCTCCCCTTCCTCCAGGGTGCTTATCAATCAAATGGCATATTGTAAGTGAAAACACTTCAAACCCATCAAGTGCTCTACAAATGTGAACCACTGTAGTAATCACTTTCAGATTTGGATTTAGTGCTACCCACTCCATAAAGGGGTGCCCTGCAGCTCTCCCTGCCATGTTTTTACTTAATCATCTATCTCCCCAGCTACAACGCGAGCTCCATGAAGGTGAAGACAACTTAGTGGCAGAGCCAGGATCTGATCCTTGATCTCGTCTCCCAGGCCTGAGAATGTCCCACCTAAGACTCCACCTCCAGGTCCTCCTCTTGCCCCGGTGGGCAGCGGCAGGGAACACTGCAACCCTTTCTCCTTCAACCAAAATACTGCATTTCGGCAGTTCAACTTAATGATATGCTATCCTGCTACAAAGATGGACTTGGATTTTCCGCACTATAGTTTTGTGTGAATTGTTTTCATCTCCCCAACTGAACCTGAAGCCTCCCAGTGGCAAAGACCTCACTGAGCTCACCTTCCACCTCATCTACAAGACCTTGCCCAAGGTTGAGCACAAACATCAGAAGGAGGAAGGAAACAGACAAGGGTGAAGAGTGCAGACACTCGAGTCAGACAGACCTGGCTCCAACTCCAGCTCCACACTTACCACCTGTGCAACCTTGAGCAAAGGCACTGGACTTCTCTGCACCCTGCAAACACTGTCAGAGTGATAAAAGTCCCCGAGTCCCAGGAGTCTTGTGAGGACTTAATGAGATGATACATGTAGCCACTCAGTAAGACTCAGTACAACCTGCAGTTAGTAATAACAGTAGTAACAGTGGTAGTAAAAACAGGCTCCATAAACACCAAGTGGCTCAAACAGGCAAAGAACAGAGACCTGGGTTTGGAAAATCCCCCACTTACTAATGTCTATTTAAATAACTAAGATATTATATCAGGTGTCTCCTTTTCCCTATACAAGTAAGATGTTCAGTAACTGAAAGGAGTTCCCAATGTCTCTCTTCAAGGAGCAGACCAAACCCCTCCGGTTTGCTCTTGGGGTTACCTCCAATCCGTCTTCTCCTGACTCCCGGCACTAGAGAGCTTGCATTTGGTTTAGGCCATGTCCTCAAACCCCAGGACAATGATGTCAAACACTCTGCATTTCATAAAGGCCTCCCTCTGACTGCCTCTTTACCTGCCCCTCTTTAGTTTGTCCATTTGTTCATTCATTCATTCATTCATTCATTCAATGAGCACACATTTACCAAATGCTGGCTAATGTAGATCTAAGCTAAACCAAGTGAGCCCTCTACCATCTAGGAGCTCCCAGCCCAGAGAGTCCTCTGGCTTCTGTTTCTTAATCAGAGACTACTTTTGAAAGCTTTCCTTCCTCCCAGGCAACAGTAAGATGACTGTCTCATTATCAGCAATAACAGCAGCGGAACTAGAGTCAGACTGCCGGGGTTAGAATCCCGGCTCTGCCACTTCCTTTTAGGTAACCACGGGCAAATTTCTTCCCCTCTCTGCCTCACCCACCTCACCTTTAGAATGAGGACAATAATATCCACCAATTAGACTGTTGTCAGAATGAAATGAAAATTCAAGGAAGTCTTTAGAACAGTGTTTGGCACATAGTAATAAATGTTCACTAACACTATTTTACAACTTACAAAAATATCCACTCTCAAGTCCAGAATGGCCTTTCGGCCATTAATACAATAAAGAACTAAGCCAAAAACTAGAGAAGTAAAATGTTCTGAAATATTGCTGTGTCACAGCTAGACTCTCCTTTTTTAGGCATGTGCCAAGCCAGCTGAAATTTCTGCCTCCAGGGAAAATGTAAAGAATCTCCAGCAGGGGCCACAAGTTTTACTTGGTAACTCACACTCAAAGAAGGCTCTAGCACAAAGAGGATCCTGAGAGCTCAGCTGGCAGGGAAGCACAGGAGGCTGTCCCAGGGCTGACCCTAGACACCCAGAAAGGCAGCCCAAGGCCCAGCATCCAAGGTTAGTGCAGGTTCTGGAACCAAGGGACAATCAAAGCAGAAGGCAAAAAGAATAAGAGAAATCCTGACACCTGGCAACGTTCGAGATTGGAAATGGTGACACTGTGGACCTGGGTAACATGTCACTGACAGCAAGACTCTCAGCCTGTGGCCCAGAGAATGAAGGAGGGGCCAATTCTCAGGGGAGGCAGCTGGCAACAGCTAAGCAGGATTCCCCAAGCAAGTGAATTTGGGTTAAGAACAGTCCTAGTAGGAAGCATAGGACTAAGTAGCTAAATCAAGACAAAAATACACTCGAGTTACCTGAGCTAACATGGCGGGGTAAGCGGGATACAAAGGAAGAAAAAGGAAAAAGGAATTATAAGACTCAGACCATAAGCCACTGGGGCTCATCCCTGGCATGCCAGAAGCCAAGCTTACTGGCCACAAGACCTGATTTCAAGTTCCTCCAACAGTGGGGAAGTGGCACCTAAAATGCTACTTCCTTTCACAGTAGATCTGTTGACTCAGCTGGGGGCACCTCTACAGAGCAAAGGCAGGGAAAATGATACAGCAGGGCCCGAAGGCAAACCCAAAAACAAACCATCATAAGAGGAAAGCATTCCAGGCTAGGTCAAGGATATAAGTGTCTGTATGTAAGTTTTATTCTACATGCTCAACACTCTAAGTAAGAGTAGTCAACAGAAAGTTTATCAGGAACGGGGGGGGGGGGAAAA